GCAGGTAATGGATGAGACCATGCAGTCATCTCCTTTCAATTGATATCCTATTGGTCCTCACCATGTGGGTTCACACAAAGGGTGGCCACTCAGACCAGGGTCAGAGAAATACATAGGACCAGAAAAGACCATTTGATCCATCTACCAGCTTCCAGTGTTCAGGATACATTCTGTCCTATTCATCCCAGATAAATTTCCCTCATAAATATTGACCCAACTACCAAACCCTCCCTCTTGATTATGCTCACTGACTCCCCCTATCAGTGTTTCACCCATCCATTTTCTCTGTGCTACAGTTCAATTAAGGTTGTTGTCACCGAGGGACTGTGTCCCTGCCTTCGATCCAGAAGGCCCGGGCTCCAAACGTGTGTCATAATACATCTGAACAGGTTGATTAAACATACCTAACGATAATTTAACTGTCAATTATCCTTTCGCCACGTCCCCCATCAGTTTACTGTATTCTTGGAGAATCTGAGGCTACATTAAAGAGACTGGCATTTAACTCCCGATCCGTTCAAATCTCACGTGTTTCTTCAAGTTTTTATAACATTACCCGTCGCCCAGACCTCAGCCTCTGGGGGACGGGAGTAGTTTGCAATCATAAGGAATCAGAAAACGGAGACGCGGAACAGGCTTTACAGAGAATAAAAAAGTTCCTCTACCAGAAGCCCCGGGGATACTGAGGCCAACTGAAGAAAACAAATGCCAGAGATCACAGGGCGTTAGACAGTATCCGCGGAGAGAGAGCAAGCTAATGTTTGGAGTTTGAAGAGTTGAAGTTTTCAGTACAGATTCCAGCATCTGCAGTAATTTGGTGCTAGATACTGAGTCAATTCGAGCTGCCTCCCCGCTTTCTGTTGACATTAGCTAACAGTACACAATGCAAACTTGCTCGCTCCTATCAGTAAACTGACCGATCACATGAAGCTGAAACCCATTGAGTGCAACGCGGCGCTGATTGCAGGAGGCCCCCCCCGGGGGGCACCGACCTGGATCACCGTCTCCAGCTTGTCCCCCTCCTCGGCTGCAAAGTCTCCACGAGAGCTCATCGAAAGGTCCAACCACCACAGGAGGGGAAAACTTTCCAACGGAACTTGCAGCACAGGTCAGGCCGGAGGCAGGGAAGGTAATCGATCAGCCCGCTCCAACCATCAATGAAGTGACCGCTTCCAATGTGTTTCTTCTAGGAAACCTGCTGAGGGGGGTGGGGGCAAACTGGCATTCCCCCCCTCTCTCTGGGTTTTGTCTCTGTCTCAGTTTTACCTTCTCTCCCTCTCTGTGTAAACACCTTTTGATGCTGAACTGAATCTCAATGCCTCGCCCGCGTGTGTTTATCATTGGACAGTGTTCTCAAATCTGTTGTTTTCCCCCAGCCCCAGCTCACAGCGCTGAGAGCCAGGATTAATTTAACCCACCTCCCTCTCCCCCCCACCAACACAACTTCCATGTGACAGACACTTGAGTATCTGGAGGGGAGACAAGAGCCATCCTTTTGGAACCTGCGAGGTCCTAGTGTCTGAGACTATACAGTATCTTGGCAATTGATTACTGTCTAACATTTTGTTTGACTCTGGGTTTTGTAGATAGAGTCAAACTCCAATGTTTTGTTTCTTTACTTGATATGCAACTGTACAGAACAGAACTGCATTTGTGACTGTGTATATGTACAACTTTTTGAAATAAAAACCGTCTAACATCATGTTGCTTTGTAGATTGATTGAACGGTAAAAATTCAAAAATTTTGAGCCAGCATTGATAGAAGTAATCAATGATTATAGCTGAACCTGCCCAGACACAAATTGCAGTTCAATGAAACAACATTGTTAAACTGTAAATACATTGCGACTGGTGAGTGCTGAATAAATTTCCACGCCAAGGAAAGGTAGACTCCAATGGAGCAAACACGGGAGTACATGTAGTTAAAAAAAAAACTCTAATAGTCTCCCTTAGACTATCACAGATCTTTCAGCCTTGGCTGAGTTGATAACTATTTCACCTCAGGGTCAGAAAGTTCAAATCCCAGCCCAGGGCTTGAGGGTACAAATTTTAGCTGACATTCATTTGCAGTACAGGAGTGCTGCACTGCCACAGCTGCCTTCCCTTGTATGAGGTATTAAATTGGAGGTATGACCTGCCCAGTCAGGTGGGCACTAATGATCCCATGGCACTGTTTTGTAGAATCGTGGGGCAGTTTTCCCCAGTATCTTGGTTATTACTTATATCCCAATCAACATGAGATGAGGTGCAGGTGTTGGACTAGGGTGGACAAGGTCACCACACCAGGTTATAGTCCAACAGGTTTATTTAAAATCACAAGCTTTCAGGGCACCGCCCCTTTGAGCCTGGGTGCTCTCTTCACTTTTCCGAGGGAAGGAGCAGCACTCCAAAAGTTTGTGATCCCAATCAACAACAGACTAATTGGTCAGTGTCACATTGCTGTTTGTAGGAGCTTTCTGTGTGCAAATTGGCTGTTTCCTACATTACATCCTGTGGTTGTGAAAGGGACTAAACAAATGGAAGACTTTCTTTCTAACACTGCAGTGTAGGAGGTCTTCATTTAGGCAGTCACTCAGGATCGATGATGACATGCCTGGTTCTGAGACCAGCAAGCAGTCCATGGAGTCATAGAAATGTACAGCCCAGAAACAGACCCTTTGATCCAACTCGTCCATGCCAACCAGATATTCTACATTAATCTAGTCCCATTTATATAGTCTGCAAATTCTGTCATGAGTAGGTGGTTCTCGAAGGATTGGGTAGATGAGGTCATAAATCATCATAGAATCCCTACAAGTGTGGAAACAGGCCCTTCGACCCAACAAGTCCACACCGACCCATCCCCCTATAATCCACCTAATCTACACATCCCTGAACACTACGGGAATTTTAGCATGGCCAACCCACCTAGCCCTCACGTCTTTGGACTGTGGGAGGAAACCGGAGCACCCGGAGGAAACCCACGCAGACACGGGGAGGATGTGCAAACTCCACAGAGACAGTTGCCCCAGCATGGAATCAAACCCGGGTCCCTGACACTGTGAGGCAACAGTGCTAACCACTGAGCCACCGTGCCGCTCTAGGTGTTTTGGAGGTGCATGTCTTCTCTCCCGTGCCTTGATTTGACCTTGGTTGGTCTCCAAAAAAATCTCCCAACATAGTGCCTCAGTCAATTAAGCTTCCCCATTGAGATGACAGGGTCTCCCATGAGCCAGGAGAGATGTTTGATCTCTTCAGGTTTACTTGCAGCACACACCTGAAGCTTTTCTGCTCCTCCCCTGGCAGTTGCTTCAGGATTCTGGAGTGGGACATACAGTCAATGTGTCCTCCTTTGGGCAATTAGGAGCTTGGTGCTGGGCATGTTAGTTTGGGCCATGTCGCTGCCAATGGACTGCCATTCATGTCACTGCATTTAGCTGGAATTTAGGCAAATGATGAGACACATGCACAGCTGCACCATTTTGTTGCATGTATATCATAACATGCATCGTCTGTTCTCATGGCTCGGTTGAAAAATGCAGCAGGAAGGTTTCATCCTATGTCTATGCTGAGTTAACCAAGAACTACAATTGACCTGAACAGCCTAGGTTGGCGTGTGCACAAATTATCCCTGAAGGCTGCGCAGTGATACCTGCTGAAATGTGTAGGTCTAGATGTGGGGTGGGTGCATGATTGAGTTTTGCTGAGATGCCCCCACAGTTGAATATTCAACTGGCACTGCCTGTCTTCACTTGCGACTGGATACTGAGTGAGGCACGCCAGAGAGCCCTATTGAAATCTCTCCAACGTGGACTCTAGGAGAAGACAGCATACTTGGGTTTAGGGACTTGGTTGGGGGAGGAGTTGGTGAGAAAATAAAAGTGGAAAGGAAGAAGTTGGTGCCACAAAGTGAGAAACATAGCAAAGCAGGAATGCAATCGGTGACTGACAACAGAACAGAGCAGCACAGCTGTGAAGCAAAGTAATTACCAGGGTCTTTTGAAGTGCAGGGTAGCTGGAGTGTCTTGCGATCTGCGCTCAGTCTGCAGGTTCTAGGACCCAGCAGACACTCTGCAGGCGGGTCGGTATGAACGTCCTCCTAGCAACTGCATGCGTCTGTCTCCGTGGTAACTGTGCCAAATGTTGCTTGCTTCCTGCCACCTGCAGCACTCGCTGTGACCATCAGGTAGCCCAAATACCCTTGGAGACTTCATATGGCACCATGTTTACAGAGTGCAGTTTAGGTAAATTGTGCATTGTGTCCCTGTTCTGTAACTGTTGCTTGATGAATACACTGTGCCCTTGACTGACCCCTTCCCCAAATCAGTACAAACATCAATCCCTCTTCCGTACCTACACCGGCCCTAAACCCCACCTCTTCCTCCGTTACATTGATGACTGTATCGGCGCCGCCTCGTGCTCCCACGAGGAGCTCGAACAGTTCATCCACTTCACTAACACCTTCCACCCCAACCTTAAGTTTACCTGGACCATCTCTAACACCTCTCTCCCCTTCCTGGACCTCTCTGTCTCCATATCGGGCAACCACCTAGAAACCAATATTCATTTCAAGCCCACCGACTCCCACAGCTACCTAGAATACACCTCCTCCCACCCACCTTCCTGCAAAAATGCTATCCCCTACTCCCAATTCCTTTGCCTCCGCCGCATCTGCTCCCAGGATGAGGCATTCCACTCCCGTACATCTCAGTTGTCCTCGTTTTTCAAGGACCGTAACTTCCCCCCCTCAGTGGTCGAGAACGCCCTCAACTGTGTCTCCCACATCTCCCGCAACTCATCCCTCACACCCCATCCAAGCAATAAGAACCAAAAAAGAATCCCCCTCGTCCTCACGTACCACCCCACCAACCTCCGGATCCAACGCATCATCCTCCGACACTTCCGCCATCTGCAATCCGACCCCACCACCAAAGACATCTTTCCCTCCCCACCCTTATCTGCTTTCCGGAGGGACAACTCTCTCCGTGACTCCCTTGTCCGCTCCACACTCCCCTCCAGCTCCACCACACCCGGCACTTTTCCCTGCAACCGCAGGAAGTGCTACACCTGCCCCCATACCTCCTCCCTCACCCCCATCCCAGGCCCCAAGAAGACTTTCCACATCAAGCAGATGTTCACCTGCACATCTGCCAATGT